GATCGGCGCGGTGGGTAGTTCCGCGGCTGTTCAACCTGTTTAGGTGGGGCGGGGGCTGGCACACGTTGGGGGCCCACGCGCTGGATGTCTGGCTCCGGAGTGGGACTGTCCTGACGTTCACCGCTGCCGGAGCTCCTGGTGCTGTTGGAGCTGTTGCTATTGGGGCTTCCGCTCTTGTCCTTGGCGTCCGAAGATGCCACCGACTCAAGCTTCTGGTCGGCGAAGCTGCTACTTCTGCTGATCTGGACGCGGCTGTTGCTTAGCTCGCTAGTACGAAATGACCCATTCGTGCCGTCAAAGAACGACGCACTAAGCTCTCTGGTCATGTCCTCGTTCGGATCGTACGAGCCTTTGCCTCTGTGCAACAATGAGTGGCTAAAGCTGTTCTTCCGCCCACCAGGTCCTTGACTCATACTCAGATTGGTACGAGCAGGCAGCGGCCGGCCGACGCCCACCGTCGCGCCGAAATCTGGATGGGGCTCCATGTTCCCACTGCTACGCACAGCACGACGAACACCGATAACACTCCTGGCGAGCGGCTTGGTGTCGTGGTCAAACAGCATCTCGTCGTCCTCGATACGGCGTCTCCGCACCGTTTCGCGTGTTGCGAAGCGCTCGTTCGGCCGTTGCTTAGTGTCCTGCATTGGGTTCGGAGGCAGCTCACCGGCAGCCTCGGCCGTCGCGAATAATATCGAGTCCCTCTGTCTGCTGTAGCTACGTCCAATACGCGTAATGTATTGCAAAGTCCCTCCCAGACCAGACGCAAGCGAAGACATCTTGGACACACGCGTCCGGTTGACCAGGCGCTTGTTGCGCTGGTAGCACAAGCCGCAGAGCTTCCAGCTCTGGAACGACGTAGTGGACAAACACGAAGAGCACACAAAGATTCCACACACATTACACAGGTGTTTCTTCTTCCTGGAGAAGAACCCAAGAGCACGCTGACAGGTCTGGCATTTGCGTTCGCGGTTCGACCGCGACGTGAGGAGACCAAACCGAGACGTTTTAGTTGACGCGGCGATAGCCGCGTCTCCGCTTGTAGCGGCGTAGTTCTCAACCAGCTGTCGATACCGGATCGACAAACTGTAGGCGTCGTGCAGACTGGAGAACGCGCCGTAAAAAGGCTCGGCGCACTTGGTCAGTTCAACGTCCAGCCACAACTGCATCTTGAGGATCCCACGATGACTGGTCTCGGCCAGTACCAGCAGCATCGCGTGGATGGCGCCGCGATGTACCTGTAGTTGCGCGTGGTGACTATTGGCACTCCTCATCTCGAACTCTCGTTCGGGGACGTCCACGGAGCGCAGCATCTTAAAGACGAACTTGTTGCCCGAAACGGGGTGCACGCCGCGTCCAACTGTTTCCATGAGTAGGAATTCTTCGGCGTGGCGTTCGTCGAGGAGGGACCGGTATTTGACGTGTTTAAGTCCGACGTAGCGGTACGGCGTTTCTTTGGTGCGTGGCACAAGGGAGTCAAGCACGCGAGCGTCAAGAAGAAGGTCCGCAGTGAAAAGCTCGCTCTCGACGCGGCGGAAGCTGCTGGTGTCGTCGGCGTGCAGTGCGCGCATGGCGTCCTGCAGTGTACCGATGACGGCCTGGCAGCTCGCAGCCGTGGAGCGACGGCGACCGCCGCTGTCGCGCGTGTGGACGTAAGGGCTGACATTGATAGGCGGGCGCGAGGCTGCACGCTCCCAACTGGCAGAGACCGAAGGTGAGGCCGTGCGACTGAAGTAGTTGCTCTGCAGTACGTGGGCTACGCAGTTGGCGTTGTCCTGCAGCAAGGCCTGAGCACTGGCCGCGGACTGAACGCGCATCGGAGACGGCAACGGGGGGAGATCTCAACTGTACTGCGCTATGACCCGAATGAAGACCGCGAGCCGCAAGGGTACACACGGGGTCGTTTGTCGAGTGATCGAGTGAGGGGCGGCTCAAGGC